ACATCAAAGGTCCCAGTATTCGGTGTTGACCTTTTTCGGTTGTAACACTTAAGCGAGGCTGCCTTAGGTCGGGCGAGTGCCACGGTTAGAAAACCAAATTGAGATACGGCTAGCAAACTCCGCTGACCCACTATCCACGGCGCTGCAAGTGAAAAGCAATTTCGGCGCTTTTCTCCTACAAAAGATATTGTTTGCAGGGCTGCTTCCAACGGACGCGAGAAACTCGCTGTATTCCATCGAGAACACAAATACTTCAGAAAACGTCCGAGGCAGTTCCACGTCGGCTCCGATAATAATGCAATTATAAGGACGTTTTAAAAGAGGGCAATTACGTATTTTCTTAGCCATCGCGGCGACGTTATCGTCGTTCAGTAAAATACAGGCTGTTCCAAAATTATGCTCCTTCCGAGAAATGATGGATTCCTGAGGTCATTCGAAGCAACTTCTTCCTTTACGAAAATGTTCTCCGAGGTATCGTTCACGAGTTATCAATGAAAAAGTAGCGACCAATGAGAGGCGGCTCGCCTAGGCGGCCCAGCGGACGACGCCCACTAACGCCGATTCGCTCGACCGTCTCGCGCGAACCGAGCTCGCCTCTGATTGGTCACTGTTTTTCATTAATAACTCGCAAACGAAGCCGCGGATTGCGATTTCGCCGAGGAAAAAGTTGCTTGAAATCGCCTCAGGAATCCCTCATCTCCCGGAGACAGCATAATTTCAGGCCACCCTATACATACTTTTCCAAGTAATCTGCAAACGGCGTTAGCACGAGTCGCGGGTACAAAATTAAAGCGATGCCGCGAGCTCGTTTATCGCAATTCCGCGCGGGCAACACATTTTTCCGAAATAACCGGCGAGGCCGCGGGAACTTAACGAAGCTTTATCGCGTATACGACGATACGATACGTACCAACCATTCTTTCTTTTCTTCCGCGGATTTAGTTGACAGTTCAACGTCCGGAGGCCGTCCACCAGTTAATTTCGCGCATTACGCCGAATAACTGTCTCCTCGATGGAAACGGAGATATATAGGATTATGACGCGCTGGGAAAGAAAGGATTCTCCCACGTTCCCGCATTTCCCACGATTTCGTGGAATCGGAGGCCGGTGAAAAATTCCCGACTGAAATGTCCTCGTTCGAAGCGAATACGTAATGGATCGGGAAAAACGAGCGGACGGTTAATTTCGTCGGGCTCTGCGTCGCGAGGCTCGTTCCAGGGTAAAACGTTTCGATGCGTGTACACTGCTACGTTTACTAGGCTGAATATTGCATACTTTTCCCTTTTCAAGTTTTCAAAGTGGAAACGGCCCGTCCCTGCCACCCCACCCAAGGTGGCACTATGCAATCGACGCATTTTTTAGGCACGGACGTTTAATTGTATCCAGCCCCGACTATGAAGCACGGAATGCGCGCACGGCAGAGGACAGTGGATAAACTAGTGGTATCGGAGAATCGGTGGACGCGACGAAAAAAGCCGAGTGATAGCACACTTACCCACACGTACACGCTTATAAAGTCCCCTGTCACGGGATCGTTTCGCAACGATCGGAGGATAGTGTTCGCGAATTCGCGAATTCGCTGTTTACCTGCGGGGCGATCCGAAACGGTTCCGATAGGAAGCAATCCGGTGCGCACTCTGCTACACTATCGAATAATATGACGCAGCTTATGCCATAATTATGGAAAATAGGAACGTTAGATTGTACCTTTTCCTTTTTGATCTTCTTTATTTATCCGATTATTGCGGCGGTTTCTCCGGCTATTATCTAATCCGTCACTGATTCGTGGATACATGTACAGGAAATTCTCCCTAATTGACCCTCAGCTTGGAAACGAAAGTGGTTTATATTATATTGTATTACTATACTATTTTATAGTTGTCGATCTATAAGGGTGTAAATTGTATTATAAGGGTCCGAGGGTCGATTAGGGAGAATTTACAATCAGAATTTACTACAAATACCTCGTAAATCATTGAAGTTACAAAAAAAGGTTTAATAGGAGAAATTTACGCAATTTTATGTTAGCTGCAAGGTGCAGGTTAAATTATTTTTTCTCATTTGCGACCTTTCCGAGTTATGAAGTTCGATTTGCTCTTTTTAAGTGAATATGCACAATCTTTCTTCCATATTCGGTTAATAATTTCATTAATAATTTTCAATCAAAACGACATCGTTCGTATTTTTGTAAAAACGTCGATATTGGCTTTTGCCAACGAAAATAAGGCGTTGCACGAAGAGTGAACACGTTAGGAAGATCCGATTGGTCTCAAAAGATAGAGAAGAGATTCCTGAATGCGTCGCCATCGATATTAATAACATTTCATGCTTCTAAGTATTATTAAACGACCGTCAAAGTTCAAGCAATGCAAAGAAATGTCGAAAAACGTATTTTCCGCGCGACGTATTTGCATGTTCACGAGAAGTTCGTTATCCGACGCGTAAACTGACCACGCCGTTTGATTCCGCGGACATTTCCGAACAAGAAAACTATCGGGAAAACGTGACGAAGCGGTTTTACGTTTCGCAGAAACGTCGGGAAAATGTCCGTCGCGGCCAACGCGCGGCCGTCGCTTCGCCGTTCGAACGGCCCCCGCTCGGCGACTTCGTTGCACGAGATTTGAATAATTAACTTCTACTTATCGAATGACATTACCGGGCAACAATCGGCAAATGCATAACCTTTAAATACGCATGGCACAAGAACCCGGTATTTTCTTGAAAGACCCGGACAACTTGAGACTTCGCTAGAGTTTTATTATGCAAAGGAAATTTCTCGTTCAACGCTCCCCTTCTTCTCCCCTCTCCCATTGTACGGTTCGCGGAGAGAGCTCGCCATTATACGACGTACTCGATGAGAAAAGTTTCTTCGTTTCGAATATTCTTTTGAATACCATCATTTTTACAATGATTATGAGCCGCAAGAAATAATAAACGCTCGCCCGGCTTCTCTTTTTCCCGGTCGGCGGGGGAAAAAAAATAGAGACAGAGTCCGCGAAACTCTTGCATTTTTCCACCGATATTCACCGAACGAAGATAAATCTATTCGCGACGATTATTATTGAAAAGCTATTACGGAAAATCCGTCCGATAATCGATAAGGTGCTTAATGGAAACACGTGGATACACGGCGACAATGAAAACGACGATACAACGACGTCGGTGATTTACGGCGTTTTGCCGGAATTCTGAGTACAATGTCTCTCTTACAGACGTTCAGATTGGCGCACAAAAATGGACAATTTGGGAAGAGGAGACACGATTGTCCGAGCCTTGCGGCTCGTTTTTATAATTGTTGTCAATTTATAATTATAAAGACAAATCATGCGTTCCGTATGAATCATAAGCTAAAACATGTGTCTCGCATTGATTTGCAGCTAAATCATTTGTTTCGCATGAACTTGAAGCTAAATCATGTGTTTCGCAATAATTCAAACCTAAATCATGTATTTTGTAAAATTTTGTAAACCAAAATGGACAATTCGAGAAGAGGAGACACGATTATCCGAGCCTCGCGACTCCTTATTATTAGTTGCCTATTGTTAACAATTATAAAAGAAAAATTGTCGATTTTTGTTTACAAGCTGAAACACTGCTGAATTGCGACCGCTTCTCTTGAACCAGTAGTAGTACAAATAACGCAATAAAAAATAGATAGAGAGCATATGAAAACGGACATAAAAATTCTACCCGTATTTTTTGAACATTCGCTCGCACAAATAACTGTTATTTACAAGCAACTGTAGAAAAACATGCTTACTCGAATGCGGGTGTTTCTATGCAAGAACTGTGCCGTTCCGTGTTGCGTACTTCAATATTTTCATCGTCCTGATTTATGGGACAGTATGAAAATGCATAACAGAAAATATGAATTAAAAATATAAAAATAATAGTATGGAAATAACGTGAGTACAAGGAATACGATTCGAACGAAATATATATATATATATAATGCGAATTTAATATAAAGTCTTCAGAATAATATAAGAAGTCAACGCTGTAATTTGGAATAAATAATAAATAAATGTAAATAAATATACGTCCGATAAAATTTCCTTCGTCCAGGGCAAATTGATTCCTCGTGGAACGAAATGTAGCGTGTGATCTGCCGAGTGCGAGCAGGATTGCTGCCTATTTTACACGGTGAGTGACGGCTCCATTAGCGTCGCCACTTGTCATCAACATGACGACGCAGAATTCTTCCACCGGGGTGGCATTAAACGGCGGGTTGGTCGTGTAATTAAGTTCGGACACGCGGCTCTATCTGAGAATGCTACTTTGAAGCGTGAAAAGCGATGCTGTCAAAGGGGAGTCAGATAAGCGCGTTAATGCAGCCGGCTATCACGCACATTTCTGAGTGAACGCGCGTGGGAAGGAGTGCCGAGCCTATTTGCTAGAATTAAATCAATGTCGCTCGATCGGGTTGAACCAACATGCTGACATCCGGGAATTTCCTCCGCAACGCGTCCGAAAATTCTCCCGCGTTCCAGGCAGAATCGAATCGTAATACTTAACAGCGTCTCGAGTTTAGATTTATTGCCCTTCAGTAAAATACAAGCTGTTCCAAAATTATGCTCCTTCCGGGAAACGAGGGATTCCTGAGGTCGTTTGAAGCAACTTTTCCCTTTACAAAAATTGTCTCCGAGGCTTCGTTTACGAGATATTAACGAAAAAGCAGTGACCAATGAGAGGCGAGCTCGCCTAGCGCTAGGCGGTCCAGCTAGCGAGCGGACGACGCCCAGTTCCGCTGATTGGCTCGGCAGCCTCGCGCCAGCCGAGCTGGCCTCCCATTGGTCACCGTTTTTCATTGATAACTCGTTAACGACGCCTCGGAGAACATTTTTGTAAAGGAAAAAGTTGCTTCAAATGATCTCAGGAATCTCTCGTTTCCCACAAGTACCACGATTTTGGGATATCCTTTATATTTCAGCGTTGAAAATGTAGGATACGTACGCAATGATCAGGCCTTAACGTTTAAGGGAGAAAAAGGGCGAACTTACCTCCCGATTAAGCGGTTTAGCCAAGGTGATGACGCCAGTGCGTGGATTTACAACGAAATGGTCCGTGAGTTGTATACCATATTTCACCGGCGATCCTTCGGGATCGTGGCCCTTAAGGACGAATACTTCTGTACCGACTTTGGTTGATTCTGGCAGAGCCAAGCCTGCTGGGTATCCTCCACCTTCCAGGATCGGTGGCTCGTTTACATTATTCGCGTCTGAAACCAAAGCAAACCGTTCGCGTCTTCAGAAGCGGAAACTCGTGTACATATTATATGTATATATGTTGTATATTCAAGCAACAAGTTAGCACATTATTGGTACATTTATTATCAAGAAATTCTTAACAGTCGCTCATCGATCTCGAAAGAATTATCTCGAAAGCCGCTGTGGCAGATGAAGCATTATTAACCCTTTGCACTCGAGTGGTGACTCTGAGGCACCATTAAAATTTGTTACATCACGTTCTAAGATAATTTTTATATTAACAAAATTTAGATTCAAGTAATTGTTAAGGGCGTAATTGTTGCGCGAGTCACAAGAGTCAATTTCATATGCATAAAATGCACTTTGTCGTATAAAATGAAAATGCTGTATAAGCCAGAAAAATTATTCTAGATCTACAGATGAAATAGCTTCGAGTGCAAAGGGTTAAATAGAACACGTCGTTGTTTATTAAACGCAAGAGGCCCTCGACGAGGATTAATTGCGAGAAAATGCCGAATTGCCTTCTCGGTAATTAAATCGATAGCGGATTACGCATTCTGGTAGACCGGGGCACGTCGATTGGAAATTCATAAAAGCGTCGATGCGTCAAGGTGCATCATTGGCGTTAATTAAGGCGCGGCGCCGTGCCGCCTTTCCAGGACGTTGATCGTTTCACATCCGATTGCGGATGATCTATCGCGTCGACTTCGGTGATTAACAGCCGCGCACGGCATAATGGATTATGATTGATTCGTGGACGCCGTCGACGGCAATTTTTATGCGTCGGTGGACACGGGGCCGCGTCGACGGTCATTTTTGTCGGAAGGAATGCGCGGGGGGTGGTGCTCATTCGATCCGATAATCCTTTTTGGAAAATGCTCGATCGACGATCAATTTGTTCACGACGCGCACCATCGAATAATAGGATTAGAGTTAGAACGATTTCCGGGTTCGTTCCCGTTCGATGGACCAAACCAGCGTGTAAATATTTACCGGGCGACACACAGTAACTGAGCCGGCCTATAACTCTGTTTCACAATCGGAGATAACTACGAATTCCGGAGAACCATTTTGCATTGTTCGTCGGCCACTGTCGTCGAGCAGCTCGACTTTTTTTCTCACGGGACCTCATTGTTTCGTCTTTTGTCTGATTTCGAACGAAAATGTATTCGAACATTTTTTGAACTGCATTGTCTAGATGACAATGAGCAAATGTGCATGTATTTGACGGTTCGATACGCGGAAATCCGCGTTGCTTCGCAAACGAGCAACGAGCGGTGCGAAGCACATTTTTTATCGTAGGATCCTTCGATCGAGGAAACGATACGGTATTATCTTTTTGCAGCTAATTTGCAAAAATCTTATCTGTCTCAATTTTAAGGTCGACAGACTCGCGCGCAGCGATTCGCTTCCAAGCCGTCCACGTAACAATTGGCATAAGAACAGAAATGGCGTTCGTTGCATCGGCGCGAAGCAGCGCTAATTAAATGTCATACGGCTGCGATCGCGACGTGAAATTTGCATTGTTCATATACGGACGTATAATATCGAAACTGAATTATTATTTCGGTAGATATTTCGAGTTTCGCGCGACGTTTGCCGACGTTGAGATATCACGTCGCGCCGGTACGCTCGTCAACAATGATATTGTAATTCCAGTTCGATGGAATTTCCGCGTTCGCGGACGTTGGTGGGCATCGGCTAAAATTTTTGACGTCGCGAACGTTTTTGACATCGCGTACGACAAACGTTCTGAACACGTCGAAATTGCTCGCGCTGATAGAGCTCGCATAAACAATAGAAAATCGTCGTTCGCAACGTTCTCGAACGATCGCTGGATTCACCCCGTATCTCGTTACTTGCGCAAATTACGACGCGAGAAGGTCTAAATTTAATGTCGTTTGAACAGGTAAAAAATATGTTATCATCGTAGCGTGGACGGATGCTTTCGTGACCGGCTGCACGTATACGCGCGCACGTGACAAGTTCGCTTTTTTATTTCATACCAAATTACGCTAACTTTAGGATAACGGCGATCTGAAATCTTTATTGCGGACATTCTAATTTCGGGTCAATCGGGCTCGTACGTTTCTCTCTCTCTCTTTTTTTTTTAAAATAAAAAGCGGCTATAAATTTCAGGATAATTAGAATACGTTATTCCGATATCGTACGATGGACAATTACCATTATTATGCCTGCTGGATGCATGATCGCATGACCGAGACTTTCATCGAGGGAATATTCGATTAACGTATCGCGTTAACTAACAAAGAATTCGATATGAATGCAAAATAAATCGCTTTTCACGAACGTGCCTATCAAATCTCGGAGCTTTATTACTTTATGCGAATTGGAATTCATGTTTTAAGAACAATGCGGTTTTCTTTATTTACGCAAAAATTTCGAATATATTTATTCTCGACAACGAAGTCGTCGTTTATCAACATTCTAACGAATATAAAAGATATTTGATCTTTTTTGATAAAAGTATAACCGAGTATACTTAGGATCATGAATAATCTTACATATCGATATTTTTCAACCTATTTTTTAATATCTTTTAAGGTAAATTGGGAAGAGAAGATACGATTATTCGAGTCTGCTTCGTTTTTGCTTCATTTTTATAGTTGTCTGACTCGAATGTTCGTATCTCCTCTTCCCAAATTGTCCATTTTCGTTCACAATTTGCAGGAAAATTAGGGAGAATTTACTGTACCTCTCCTAGACCCGTTATTCCCGATAATCTACAATCTCAAGACCCAACATTATTCCGTTTCGAAAGCCGTTCGAATACTTTCGTGATCCACCGTACACATTCCCCTCCCTCCTTCCGCTTATAGAACCAGTTCATTTAGTTTGTTTAGGACTACCGAGAAGATCAATCTGTGCACGGCATACTTCGAGAGATTAGCCTGGACGAACAGGGACATTTGCGGCAAAGTACACTTGCGTCTGCACGATAATGTCGCTCGCTCGTCGTTAGCTATGCAAGACCGGTTACAGGGAAGAGTCCCAAACCGTGGAGGGTAAGTGCAGGTATTACTGCGGTTACTCGACGAACGCGAACTTTGACAGAGAAAATAAGACCTCTCGCGCCGATAGATCGACGACTCGAGCTATACCTATTTTTAATTCTATATTCTTCTATATTCTATATATATAGATATATTCTATATATTCATATATATATATATTCTATATATCTATAATATTCTATATTATTATATATTATATATTATATTATATATTATTATTATTATATTATATTTTTTTATTATTTATATTTTTGCGTAAATAAAGAAAACCGCATTGTTCTTAAAACATGGATTATTATTATATTATATTATATATTATTATATATTATTATATCTATAATATTCTATATTATTCTATATTATTATATTTAATTCTATATTCTATCTTCTTTAATTTTATATTCTTCAACGCGAATATTCACTTTTCCCAAAATATTGGCTCATCGAGACCCGCGCTGTACAGGTTAAGGCAGTTCGATAGGGCGCCGCAGTAATGCACGCACATACAGTAAAAAACTGCGCGCCAAATACTGTGTCGGTAAATAATATTTGAAACGAGCGAACGGATGGATCATCTTGTTATCGGTTCCATCAATTTTTGTAATGTAAACCACAAATAGGATCGGCTTCCTCGATCCCGTCGCTTTCCTTTTTTTTTCTCCTCGATGTTGTTCGCGTATCTTGGTAAAGTGCCGTGCAGGAAACACAAGCGAGGCCGATAGTTGAGCATCAATAATTCCATTTGGTTCGCGAGCTTTCTTCTTCGGATATCAATTATGGAGGCAGCAGCGAACGGGAGGAAAGATCGTGCGGCGCGGCGGCTGCGTCGAGTTTTCAAGCTGCTCGTTGCGATCTCTGTTCTCTCTGTTCGGCATGAAACTTCGACAGATGTTCCGCGGAAGCCAAATATCATCGCACAGATTGTTCCAGTCATTTTATTTAGTCATCGTTTTCATTGTAGCATTACTATGTGTTTTTATTAACGCTTCGACGACGCTATTTAAAAAAGCGTATTATAATTACACTGTTAATAAAAACCCACGCGCGGATAACAGAATTATTTAACATTTAATTGTCGAGAATTGACTTCTTCGCCAGTCAATCATATAATTCTTTAATTTTATCAAGATTCGCGAGACGCGAGAATGTTGGAAAAGCGACGCATGCCGCATCGATTTGCAATTTTTATCTCGCCGAATCAAATATTTTAACATTATGAAACTTTCGAGGCGTCAACGTTGTCAAAGTGTTAACGTACGCGGGAAAATGGCCGCTACCTCTTTTCTGCTTTTCGCTCCGAGTTGCTCTAAACGACGTGCCGCCGCGAGGCCCGACGAGTCGCGACTTAGTATTCCCGGATTCGCCGGTTTCGGTTTCCGAGCTCCGAACATTTCCGAGGGGGCAGCAACGTTGCCGCGGATTTCGGGAAGTGCTACGTCCTCGGAGGGGATCAACCGTCCTTGACATTAAAGCTCGACGTATTTATTAGGTTTGGTTCGGGTTGGCCAGCTTTCAAAAGTTCCGGCGTAGCCGCGATGACGAAGCTACTTCGCCAACTTCCTAATAGTTTTATGACTTTTCGGAGCTTTACAGAGCCCCGCGCCTCATTCCCAACAAATTAGCGGCTCGAGAGAGAAGGTACGCGCGAGACCGAAACTTTCTTCTCCTTCCGTCCATCTTTTTTCCGAGTTTGACCCCTTTGTAACAACGTTATAAAGAAAGCTGCTTTTTCCGGGAACGGAGCGGAGAAAGATTGTAGAACGGCGGCGCCGGCGCCCGAAACTTGGCAATTGCGTTTTCGCGGACGGTGCAACAGCAGCCGGCGCCCGTTACAATTCCGTGTTACAACGTTTGTCGAATGGTAAACTATGATTCGGGAACGTCTTCGATAAAGTCCGTAATGTCGATGATTACCGCGGACGCCCGAAATAAGTATGCGATACTTTTATCGCAGTGCGAGATAGCACCGTTCGTTT